TCTCCCCGCTCCCGAGCCCCCGCGAAGCAGCCCGCGGGGGCCGCAGGAAGGCGCTCGGGCGGACAGCTGTCCCCGCCGCCGCCCCTCTCTGAGCCCCCAGACCCTGTCCCTCGCGCGTGCGGCGTCCCCCGCCCGAGTCGGGGGACAAAGCGGCGACCCCGGAGCCCCCTGGCTCCGATCCCAAGCAAACCCGGCCTCACTCACCTCTTCTTCGCGGCTTGAATCCCTGGGCGCCGCCCTCGCGTTCGGCTCCGACCACGGTCCGCCCCTGCCCGCGCGCCGCCGCCGCCCGCGCGCGCCCGCCCGCCCAGCTCCGCTGCCCCTCTGCCACCGCCCCTCGGCCCGGCTCGGCTCGGCGCCCCCGGAATCGGGCTCCCCGCGCCACCGCGGCGGGCGCCGGCTCTTTCTCCGCCGCGGCCGCGGCTCTCCGCCCCCTCCCCCCTGACGTCAGGCGGGGGGGCTCGACGGAGGTCGGGGGCGGGCCGCGAAGGCCCGCCCCGGAGGGGGCTGCGACCCGCCGCGACCTGCACGCCTACCCGCTCCCCGCCCGGGGGCTCGGACCCCCGCCCCTCCCCGTGCCCTGCCGCCCTGCGCCTTGCAGCCGCGAGCTGCGCCACCGCGCTGGGAGGTGGGGCGGGGAGGGACTCCTGGCCCTGGCACTGGGGAGTCGGACTCACCGGGTCTTTCCGAAGTGTCCCCCAAGGCCAACCGCGCAGGCTGGGCGGCCGGGCTCGGGAATGGGGCTAAGGGGATCCCCACGCTGAGGTTACTGGAACGAAGGCGTGCGGGCCACTTCAGGGCGAGTATCCGAGGCTTCTTTTCGGGGCGGACCAGAGTGGTCTGTCTGTTGGCCCCCAATTCTTCTCCGTTCCTTGGCCCCAACTCCCACTGAACCCTGCGATCAGACTGGAACGGGCCTCACCAGCCAGTAAGACCCCCCAAGTCTCCCCGAGACCTTCTGCCCCTTGTTTCTCACGCTCCAGGCGGAGGGACCTGCTCAGCGCCCCCCGGCCAGCTCCCGGCGAAGACAACGCTGGACTCCGATTGCACAGAGCCTACCCCTCAGGAAATGACTCCTTCTGGTGCCCTTGGAAGACTGAATAACAAGTGACATGAGCCCTGATGTTCAGACGAAAGGGTTCTGAGGGGAGCCACGCTGGAGGAGAACTGGCATCTTCCGAACCGCCAGCCTCCGCCCACAGCCGCTCCTAGAAGTAACTTGTAGCCCTGGCCTCCTGGGCGGTGCTGGGGTGTCCTCCTTGCCAGCTGGTTTCTCGGAGCTGGGCAGGTGGACAGAGGAACCCCAGGGAGGCCAGCCCACCGGGACCCGGAGACATATGCCACCTCCTGGCTAGGGGCAAAGGGCAGAGGTGAAGAGACTGGAGGCCCTGAGGCTGCGGTGGTGACTTTATGCCTGGTGCAGTCCTGGAGGGGAGGGACACTTTAGGGCCCCGTCAGCAGATCTGGATTATAAATCAGTCCCGACGGGAGCTTTTGTTCTGGGTTAAAACTTGGCATCAGAAAAGTGGAGACCAGAAGAGTCGTGGAGATAATTGGGAAAAGCAGCCCAGTTTGGATTCAGTAACAATTGGGTCTTTGCTGGTATACATAAAGGCCCCTTCTCCCGCGCTGGCCAAAGCCACATTTCCCAGCTCCTTTCCACCAGAAAAAAAAAAAAAAGAAAAGCTGTGGCCTTGGAGATGCTGGAGATAGGGGGCAAGACAGTTAATTAGCATGGGGTGGGCAGGGAAGGCTTTGCTTCAGCTGACAGGGAGGAAGATGTGTGACCCCCCTCTTCCTGTTAGACCCTGCGTCTATTTATGTGGATGTAAATCAATAGGCAGGTGCCCGTCACATTTGTTCTGTGCTTCACATCCTGCAACTTGCCTTCACTCTGCCCTCATGACCACCCTTTCCAAAGTAGGTACTGTTTCTCCCATTCCATAGATAAAATGAGTCTCAGAAAGGTTACGCATCCTGCCCCAACTCACATAGATAATGAGCAAGGTCAGAATGTTAAATCAGGCCTTAGGACTCCTGATCCTGTCTTTCCACTAAGTCACAGGGTATCCTGCTAACTTTTAGGCCACAAACACTCCATTTCCTGCTGTTTTTCCTCACCTTCACCTCCCACCCACCTCTAGGTGTGACGGTTACCAGGCTGAGACCTGAGCTCCTAGCCCCATCTGCAAGACAGCCCTAGTGGAAAGTCTCAGCAGGTGGTTTGGTTTCACTGGCCGTGACCGTCTTCTGTAGCTCAAGGCCGGCTGCTCGGTTCCTGCTAACAGACTCCGGAGCCCTTCCCTCCCAAACGCTCCTCAAAGTTAAGGCTGCAGCTTGCCTGCTCCCCTCTTCCACCTTCACTCATTTTCTGCTGCGTTCCGTTCCTTTCCAGCGCTGGCCTTTTCCGTGGGTGGGTGGGCAGGGGATAAAGTTTCCTGCATGACTACTTGCTCATGATTCATACTTTAAAATAAAAGCACAACTGGTCAAAAATGAGGATTCCTGGGTCTTAAATTAAGAAGAAAAAAAGTTACTAATACCCGGGAAAAAAAAAAAAAGGCTTGTGTATAGGCATATCAAGCCTCCTCAGGGCCTGTCTATCATATTCTATGGAAGGTATCCACTTTTCAGGCCTTAGGCCTTGACAGACCCTCTTACTTTCCCCATTTGTTCAACTGCTTGTGGCCAAGAAAAAGCAGATGTGCTAAATGCCCCCCGAGTTTCTCTGAGGACCCACTGGCAGCTCAGTCCGGCCCCTAGAGATGGACCCAAGAGTCTTCTCTGGAAAGCAAGGCCCCCCTCACTCCCACACCTTGGTCATGCACCACGGTGCCCCTCCTGTGAACTCCAGCTCTCCTGAGGCTGCTTTCTGAGGGGGGGTGAGGGCGGGGCTGAGGGGTCACAGTGGGGTTCTGTAGTCAACACTGTCTGGCCAACTTCCAGGGGAGTCAGGAGCTGCTGTCAACCCACAGGGGGGAAATGAAAAAGCCTGGGTCAGCCACCCTTCAGGGGCCTGAGGGCCTGGGGACCTGGGGACCGAGGGGAGTGGGGACATAGGAAAAGGACTTCCTCTCTCCACTTCCTCCTAAAGGAGAGTTATCAAAGCCGTCCACCTGGGAAGCCTTTCCCTTCCAGCCCCTCCCTACCACCATCACCAAAGGAAGCAGGAGAACATCCGTCATCACAGCCCCGGATGCTGCCTTTCCAGTGGCTTCCACCAGGATATCCCTCAGCCTTTTCCCAGGGGCTTAGGGATCTGGAAAGAGTATGTGGCCAAGTTGCCAGCATTACTGTGGAACTCTTGGCCTAGAGGCTGGCTCTCTAACTGGTCCCAGACTGGTTTCAGAAGATCTGGTCAGCTCCCAGCCAGTTCCAGCGAGGGCCCATTACACGTCCCAGGGGACGCCGTACGCCCTTGGGTGACCTCAAAGTGCTCACCTCTGCTCAGGTTACAGGGAGGCCTCTGGAGGGCCTGAGCTGTCACCAACACCTCCTCTCTCCTGGGGGTGAGTGTCTCCGGGAGCTGGGGCGGAGGGGGGCAGTGCACGAGAACCGGGCCTGGGCAGGAGGGCTCCAGAGCCTGCAACACTGGACAGCTCGAACCCTTGCTCAGAGCCCAGCAGGGGCGGCTTTGAGAATTGGAAACTCCCTGCTTCAGACTCTCAGGGCTCCCTACTCCCTCTCTGCCCTTGGCTGCGAGAACGAAGAAAGGAAATTTCAAAGGTGATTTCCAGGTTTCCAGAGCAAACTGAAGAGCTGGGGATCAGGGGCAGGGGCGGCCCTGAGGGAGGGGGAAGGCGGTGGCTCGGCACAGCCTCCGCTCTGCTATCGGAGGATCTCAGGCCTACCTGATGCCGCTGGGGCCTCAGGGGTGCCCTGGCCAAGGGGGCCTGTGATGTGGCCAGGAACAGAAACCAGAACTCTCAGGCAAGCCGCCTGGGCCTCCAAGCCTCCCTGGCAGAGAGCTTCTTCCACCTCTCACCTGGCGAAGGAAGAGAGGCAGGGAGACGTGGTACCCGGCCCTCGGCCGTGTGCTCGTGCTCTCTGATATACATCTGCCTTGGCTCCCAGCACTCTGGGGACCCAGCGAGAGCCTCCAAAACAGGACCAGGAAGCGATGGGCTACACTTTGGGGCTGCAAATAGAGGCACTTGGCCTGAAGGTCCTTTATATGGGGGGAGTTTCCTACTTAACCTGCCTTACCCTGACCCCCGTCGTGTGAAAGAACAAAGGAGAGGGACAGATAAACAGAGAAAGTCACAAGCACCAGCCACGGTGACGTTCCACTGGCAGACGCTAGGGTTGAGCTGAGGAAGGGGCCCAGGCCCAGTGGGCAGGCCTCATCCTCTAGCTACCTCCTATCTACCTCCTGTGGCCCCTGCAAAACCCCGTCCCCACCCAGAAAGGAGTCAGGAGGGGCCAGGGGCTAGCAATGGAGTCTCAGGGTTGGACGTGTGGGCAGATCCCCAAGGATCTCCTGGGGGTACCAAAGGCTCACTCACTTCTCAAGGGGAGCAGGTCAAAGACGTCCAGCACCCGTTTAGGGATCAGGGCCCACAAAACTGATCTTGGGTAAGGCAGAGGGGAAACAAAAAGTCTTGGGAACGATCTTTCGGCACTGCCCCCCATGCCCAACTCCTAAGTCTGGGAGTTGATTTCAGAGCTCAACAATAAGTTGAATTAAGTGTAATTACAGCCCTGAGCTACCATCTCACTCCCTGGATCTTCCCCAGTGGCAGCGGGGAGTGGGGAGTCCTGGTCCCAGACCGGTCCAAACAAACGTTCCCCATCCCTGCTCCCTGGGTGTCTGACAGCTTTCAGGCCACAGCCAGAACTGCTCCTCCCTGAAGGTTTACAAACAGCCCTCAGCTGCAGGGGGTGGGGCGGGGCACATGACTGCCTGGGGTGAGAATTCTGCAAAGTATAAGCGAGAAGTCAGGAAACTGGGCGCTGAGCACGGGCCCTCAGTAAGGGACTGAAGGAACTCTTGTAACCCATGATGCTGAAATGAGACTTTAGCGTGCACAAGGAACCCTCACATTAGGGACACACAGAGATGGGAAGGAGGGTGGGGAGGATGGTGGCCGGAGGACCCAGGAAGCCCAGGAAAACCAGAGCTTTGGAGACAAAGGTCTCGGGGAGAGGAGGCGGTGGGGAAGGGAAGGAGAGCTGAGAGGTGAGCCAGGCAGCGAGAGGCAGGGTCCTTGCCCGGAGGGGGCTCAGGGCAGCGGGGGAGGCAGGTGCTTGCTTCAGCTGGCTGGTCCTCCTCTGGTCTCCATTCTTCACGCCTTCAGTTAGCTGGGCCATGTTCACTTCCTGCCAGGGCCAGGAGCACTGGGCCACCCCTGCCCTGCTCCATTAGATGTCTTCCCAGGGGCTGAAGTACTGGGTCTGTGGCAAAGAGAAAAGCAGGATGTGACGGTCTGGGCCCAGGTAGGGCCCACCGATGTGACGCTCCCTGGCGCTCCAGCATCCCTTGAATTTCCACTAAGGCCTCCTCTGTGCCAGATGCTGAGCCACAAGGCTCCTGGGGCTGCCAGTCCAGGTGAGGACATGGCAGGTCAACGGGCCACTCAACCACAGCTCTGCCTCCGTTCTCTCTACTCCCTGTTCACAGGCCCAGGGCGCTGTGAGAGGAAGGTGGGACCTGCCCCCTGGCTCGGCCAGGCCACGAATCACTTTTCCTTCTTTTCGTGACAAACACACTGCTTCTCACCAGATACCAGTGTGATCTAGTTCCTTAGGGGTTGAGGATGAGGTCTGCTCTCCAGCTTTCTCAGAGACTTGTGAAATCTGAGACCCAAGCCACAGCCTGTGGCTGATGTGTCAGTCCCAAGTCAGAGGTTACGGGGGAAGGACAAGCGGAGGGGAGTCAGAGGAAAGGCAAGTTGGGAGCCCTGGAGCATTGGGAGGGGGGTTGGAGAAAGAGTTTTTACGAGACCCAGCTCATCTGCATCCAGGGCTGGGGGCGAAGGGGTGGCAGGGCTGCCTGTTGGAGGAAGGGACAGAGGCCAGAAGGGAGGCTGCCAGAGCCGGGGCTGCACTGTGCTAAATGTGCAGGCTCGCGAGTCAGGCTGGTTCTGTGCCCTGGTTCTGATATTTGCACGCCCCCGCCTGCATGATGGGGCAAGCTGTTTAACCTCTCAGTGACTCTGGCTAGCTTGTTCATCTGTAAAATGCGATCATAACAATACCTGCCTCATGGAGGTTACGTGGATTCATGTAGAAGAGGGTCTTTATTCAATAAACATTAGCTATGAGTATTTATTACCCAGGGAGTCTGAGGGAGTCAGGAGCGTGAGTGCTGTTGCTACAAAAACTGGAGGGACCAGGGCAGCCTGGGAGCGTTCCCCCCAGCAGAGTGGGAGGCCAGCCTCAGGCCCACAGGACAACTGGGCAGAGGGTGGACAGCTGGTGCCTCTGCTGCCCCTTCCTGGCACAGCTCACGACAGACCGGCCCTGTGGCCCAGGCTCTTCCCTCTCTGGGGTGAAGCTCTTCTTTGCCTTCACCCTGGAGTCGCCTGCGCTGTGCCTCCTCCCCGCAATCCCACACGGGGGCCTCTGACTCTCGATAAGAATGGCGATGGCCAACCGAGGACACGTCTCCCCGCACTGCACTCTGCCCCCATCTTCCAGCCAGGAACCCGGCAGCTGCAGAGGGGGCGGACACACTGAGGGCTCTGGTCAGCCGCCTGACCACATCCCTCCCCTCCCAAGCCTGGGGGCTGGTGTGGGCACCACCTGGGGCTGGCAGTGGACCAGCAGCTCCTGCCAGCGGATGTAGGTCTGGGCAGCCAGGTCCTTGAGTGCGGTCCAGTGCATGGCCTGGGGGCTCTCCCGGATGTGGGTGCTGATGCTGCGGTCCAATTGCATGCACAGCAGCTGCACCTCTCCCTGCAGAGGCCGTGGGGGGCGGGGCACAGGCCCGCAGCCACAGTCGGGGAGGGGAGCACAAAATCGGAGAAAGAGGAGGACAGGTCTGAGTGACTGCCCAAAAGTCAGGCAGGAAAGGGAGGGGAGGCACGGGGTAACCGGGGGCACGGGTCAGTATCCCTTGGGAAGGCCTGGTGGGACGCTGGGAGGAGGACGAGGCCGGCTCCCCTAGGCCTGCTTCTTTTTCAGCCTCCCACTCTTCCCAGTTCCTGGCAGCGGGCTGGGCTCCTCCCCCAGGGGCCCCAGCCCAGCCTCCTGGGAGACTCACCCATTGGTCTGGAGTAATGTCCTGGCAGCTGACCACCAGCCCAGCCAGCGTCAGGAGGCTGTGACACAGGTAGCAGACCTGGGGAGAGACAGGCTTCCCTGAGTGCAGCTCAGGCCCAGCCCTGGGCTTCCACGACAGTGTCTGGGGAGGTGTCTTCAAGGAGGGCCCCGCTCACTCAGAGCTCTGCCCCTGAGGAATGACCGTGCTCCCCCGCCTCAGAAAAAGAAGAAATCTCTGCCATCCAGAAATCCACACTGTCACCCAGCCCCATCCTGGGGCTCCAGAGGAGAAAGCCCGCGGGCGAGAGGGGTCTGTCCACTCTGAGCTCTGCCTGGTGTCTGTGGTCCCCGAGGTCTCTGCTCTGCTCCCTGTGGCACCCACGCCTGTGCGCACTGTGACCAGATGCCACTGTCCACTATATGCGTACACGGGTCCCCCATGGGTGCCCAGCTCAGCCCGGGGGGACACCCCTGCACAGACAGATGTGCAGCTCAGTCCAGACACTCCCACCATGCTGACCGGAGGAGGCTGGCGAGGGGAGGGGGGCAAAGGGCAGGAGGTCTGGTTGAGCATTCGCCCACCTTACCCACCTACTCATACCCTCGCTCTTGCCCCCTGGACACCAAGGGGTGAAAACAGGACGAAGGCCGATTCTATGTGATCAGAGGCTACGTTAGATTCTGGGGTGCCCTTGGACTCTGCTGGTGCCCATTCATTTATGAGAGATTCACCTGCTGTGCAGAGAAAACGAAGTACGGGGAGCACCCACCCCAAAGGCAGGTGAGGCTCCTGCTGTGAAGACAGCCTGCTCCTGGCACTCAGTGGGCATACCCCTCCCCCACTCGGAGGTGCCAGCTGCTCTGTCCCCTTCAGACTCCTCCTAAGATAGGAAGGGTGGCAGGAAGCACCCCACCATCATGCCTGTGGCAGATAACCAGCCCTGAGGCTGAGCTGGGAGGGGAGAGGCAGGCTCTAGAGATGGCCAGCAGGGCTCCAGCTTGGTGATAATGGGGTTGGAGCTCAGAGCCAGCCAAGGCTCCCCTGTCCCCCCACTTCCCCTGCTCTTATCATCCTCCCCCTTTAGAGCACCTGGTGGTGCCCCAGAAACGGTCACAGCCTCTTTGCACAGACCCAGCAGCCTCCTTAGGGCAGAAGCTAGAACGGTTTTTGAGGGCATCAGACACTCTGGAGTGTAGTCTTCTCCAGCTCAAACACCACGTGCAAAATCCTGAGGCCACAGGCCAGCGACCCCCCTCCTCCAGCAGCACCTGCCCTGCCCAGGACCCAGCCTGTTCTTCAGCACAGCAGCTGAGGCCCACAGGTGGCTGATACCACAGGCTGGCCGGGTTGGGTGGCATGCCACCTGGCAGTGGGGAAAAGCAGGGGGCCCACTGGGTGTGCCTCCAGGCAGCGCTGCCCCGGGCTGGGGAAGATCCAGCCTCCGTGAGCAGGGTCCACCTGCTGGGTCCCCCTTCCCCAGCCTGGCCTTGCCCTTGGGAGGCTCACGGCATTCGGAACTCCTGAACTCTGCAGTCGTGGCAAACGGCTCTTTCCCGCCGTCCCAACCCCCTAAAGCAGGCTCAAGCCTGTGCGCTAGACAGTGTACCTTAACTAAGACACAGCCACACACACTCAGACGTCGGACAGGAAAAGATGCTTCAGGAAGGCTATCATTTGGTTACTGACACTGAATACTGAGCCCCAGCGTTCCCATGGACCAGGAGGACAAAGGGTCCTTCTGGCTTTTCTGGGGAGGGCGGGGGAGCGGTGGTGGTGTGCAGCTGAGAGGGCTTCAGGGAGGAAGTGACTAAACCAGGTCTCAAAGGAGCCGTAAGATTTGAGGTGAAGGTGGCCCTGTGCGGGTGGGGCACAGCCAACATTACACCACCAGACAGATCCCGGGCTGATGCAAGCAGCAGAGGCAGGACTCGCCAGGGGACTGACCGCCGCTAGGGCACGAGCTGGGCTGGAGTGGGGAGAGAGGGGCGCCCTGGGGACTGGGCTGGCAGCAGAGGGACCAGACAGTGGACAGTGGAGGCCACTCCACGCTGCTCTGGAGCAGGGAGCCTGGGTTGTGGAGGACAGACTGGGGGCACTTGGGGGAAGCAGGGGATGGAATCTGTTGGGATGGAATCCACCGAAGTGAAAACACGGCTCTCAGAAGGATTACACTTCCTCCGTCTTTTTTTTTCCTCTTTCTTTACAATGTGTGTGCTTTACTCATATAATCAGAATATAATGACAAAAATTTTAATTAATTTTAAACCAGACAATGCCAATGATAAACGACTGAGCCCAGGTGGGTCTGGGGTAGGTGCGGGGCAGGGGAGAGGGACGTGACCTTGGGAAGCACCCTCTTCGAGAGAGGGGCATTGAGCAAGCTGATGGTGAGAGGTGGTGGAAGCCAAAGAAAATATCCCAGGGCGATGGAGCCTAGGGCGATGGAGCCCTCGGTTGGCGGCCGGGAGGGGGGGCCTGTCTGCAGGGTGGGTGTGAAAGCCCGGGAAGGCTGTGGCAGAGGAGAGAGAAGGACCTTTCACCTGTAAACATTCCCTCAACCGAAGGGGGCGTGGAGGCGCTGGGCCGCGGGCTCAGGTGGAGGCCCTGGCCAGGCCCCCAGCCCCCTGATCTCCCCTCCCCTGCAGAATGTATCTTCCTGGGAGGGGGGCGTGGTGAGGGTGCGCCTGGGGTCTGAGGAGTGCCCTGGAGGAAAGCCTGTGCAGTGGGGATTTACTGAGAGAAAAGAGCGGCTACGTGTGTACGGGTTTCACAACTTCATTCTTAATGCCGATTCCCATAATTGAATCTGGAGGGAAAATCCCAGGGAAACTATTCTGAATACGTTTGTTTTTTGTGGGGTGGGGGTGGGGTGGGGTGGGGACGAGAATAGCAAGAAGGAAGAGGTAGTTCTGAAGAAGAGCCCTGTTAACCACACTGTATAAGCCGATCGTCCAAAGGGCGGGTGAGGGTACATGGGAACCGTGCCCACTACCTGGAAGGAGGGCTGGGGGCATTCTCCCCTCTTTGGGGAAAAGGGCTTCGTTATCAGCAGAGTCGCCCAGGCCATTCCTCCCCGCGGTCTCTGCACTGAGAGGAGAGGTGAGAGACGGTCCTTCCGCTCTCATCCAGACAAAGGGACAGACCGCGGCACCGGGGACACGCCAGGCTTCTCCTGCACCTCAACCCTCCTCTCCCAGGCCCTGTTTCTGTGAAGGTCAGAGAAGCAAACCATGAGCAGAAACTGGGGCTCTAGCAGGCTGGGGGAGGCTGAACCTGGGTCTCCGTCCTCTGGAAACTTCCTCCGGTGGGGAGGGCAGGGGCTGGCCCAGGAGCCCTGGGAGACAGGGTAGGACGCTCAGTCAACAGCCAGGTGTGAGAGCTGCGTTTCCTGCTCCAGTTGTGCTGTGACCAGTTCCTGAACTCAGCAAGCCCGTTCCTGTCCTGCTGGCACCACAGAAACGTGTGGCTCTGTCTTCTCTTTCAAGATACTGGAAAGGGAGGCTGGGCAGAGGCCAGGCATCGGCAGGGCCAGTGCAAGGTGGCCCTTCCTCCTGTCTGAGGCCCCTTCCAAGTCCCTATGGGCGGGTGGGGGTATGTATGGGTGTAGGGGAAGGTGCCGGGTGGCTTCAGGGTTAGTGAGCAGTGCAGGGGCACACCTTGAGTGGGGGATATATCCATCCAAGCTTGGGCATCTCGTCTGTAGAACGGGTGCTCCCCCAGCTCAGGCCACCCAGCACCTCCCGACTGGGGCGTGAGTGGAGGCTGGGAAGCCCCCAAGGGAAATGGGGCCAGGAAGCCTCAGTCCACGACTTGGGGAGAGGCAGAGTCTGAGGCATGGGACGTGCCCGAACCCAATGCCGACAGGAAAGGACGGTCCCCTCCCGCTGCTGCCAGTGGGGCCTGCAGCTCCATCTTCCGGGTCTCTCCCCGGAGTCTGGCAGACAGACTTTTCTGAGAAGTTCTGTGCAGGATGCCTCCCTCCTGGCTCTAGCGCCTGGAGGTGGGGCCCCGCCCTCTCCCTGGGGAAGGATGACACGGCAGAGAGATAAGGGACAGCCCACTGGCTTGTCACCTGCGAAGGGGCCAGGGGAGGGGAAGGCCAGTGTCTCCTTTTCTGGTCCAGCTAGTTCTGACCCGGGAACCGCCAGCCAAGTCTTGGTGTACAGAGCTTTCGTCATGAGACGAAAGGGAAAAAGGGTGGACGGTTCCCAGGAACTTCATCCTTTAGAAAAATTCCCCTCTAGCTAATGCCAAGGGAGCTGGCGGTGGGTTATTTACGCTAAGAAAGGGCAGAGAGGGGGAGGGAGAGGATCTCCCAGGAAGCCACTCGCTCTGGCCAGAACATAATAGTTTCTCCCACCGCAGTTCCGAACAAGAGCGCAGGCTCACCCGAGGCAACCCTTCGAACCCAGCCCCCTCCCTGGAGGCTGCCAGCCCGGTGGGGGGCAGAGGGGGTGCAAGGAAGGCAGGGGATGGTGGATCTTGCTCTTGGCTGGAGGGTCCTGGGGGAGCAGGTCCAGCCAGCTCTGGGGCAGCTGCTGTGGGGCATGGGGGTGGTGGTGGGGGGAGAACTAAGGCTGACCCAGGAACACCTGCTGGGGAGGACACACTGATTCAGAGGACACAGCCTTCCAGCCAGGCTGCTGGGGCCCAGGGGCTCACACTGCAGATGTCGCTGGCTCCCGCTCGGCAAGCTGGCCCTCAAGGCCAGCTGCTGTCCAGTTCCTTGCCCGGGATGCCAGGACCCCAGGGCAGCCTCCCTTGGTCTCACCTCTCCAGGCTCACAGGCTCTGGGGTTGGGAGGGGTCCTGTCCTGGGGGACCTGCATTCAGCCACAGCCTGGTTGGGCTGCTCTCGGCCCCGTTTGGAAGGCCTGGAGGTCCAGGAGGAGAATTCTGCCATAGGTCCTGTCATTGCCACGTGTGGGTCTTCTCAGGGGTTCTGTTCCCTCAGAGACACTTCGCTGCAAACACACGTGCTGAAGGTCAGTTCTAGAACCAATGAAGCCTGGGAAAGAGTGAAGCCGCGCTGGTCCGCCTTGGGCCATTTCAAACCCAAGGCTAGAGCTGGGCCCTGAT